ATTTTTACTAGTATGGCTTTAATATATGAATATTTCTTTATTTAAAAAAAAAGTGTGTGTTCCAAGAGAAATCCATGCGATTGGAGTTTCGCATAGTAGGCCTGCGAGAATCGCGTTAGGGTAGCTCCGGTCGGGGCAGAAAGGGTGTAATTTATAAGCTGGGGTGCAGTCTCCCTGTACGCCACCATCAATCATTGTGGCGCTGTGCAGGGAACCCCGCAGGAGGGAGCGAAACTATGCTGGTTCAGGGGTGCAAGTGCACCGTGTGATAGGGTCGATCTTAAATTGTCCCGCAAGCTGATCAACTGACTAAATGCTCAGGTGCCAGTCACGTTACTTTTTGCGGAAAACCCCGAAATTTCATTAGAAAACGGGGCAACTGTTGAAAAAAGGGGTTATAATGTTCATGGATATGAAGAAACTATGTTAGTTTTCTGGACCTGTTAACATTACAAAAAAAAATGAAGCGTCTAATACAAAAGTAAATATACTATCAATGGGATTGGTTTGGAATTGGTTTGCTGAATTTGGTATTAAAAAAATAGAAGAGGAGATCTGTTCAACTGAAGATAAAATCAAAAATATATCATGCTCTCTATAGAGTAGTAGTGTTACATTATTTTGCAAAAATTTCCAGATGCCTCATTTTCTTGGACACACAAGAGTACTTTATTACTTTTGGATGGATCTAAGAAATTGAAAAAGAAAAATGTTTGGGATAAAATTTCAAAAGAAATGAAACTTAGAGGATATAATGTGGAAGGTGAACTACTTGATAGGAAAATAAGAAATATAAATCACACATACAAAAAATATTGATAATAACAATAACAAAAAGACTAAATATTTGAATTTTTTTGTCATACAGCTATTTTTATTGATTGTAGGTGGTGTACAGTTGGAGAAATGGGCTACTTGCAATAATTGTACTTAGGTATAATAAAATAAATCTATTTTTAATGTGAAATATTTTAACTTAGTCATAATACATTTGCTATGTAACATGTTTTCATCTGTCCTTGAATTTGATGTAAATTGTTTCTGTTTCCATTAAAATCCTCATTAAGTTCTTCATTATCTGTATAGGCCATACATTCCATTTTTTCAGGGTCAGAGTTTTTATAGGTTATAATCGGATTATGCAGCACACATGCTGCTGTTATAACTGATCGAATTTTGTCATCAATGCTCATTTCTAAATCCAAAGCTTTGCTCAATTAAAACATGCATAGAACTAAACAACAGATGTCCATTATCTCTATATGGTTTTAAGAGAAAGAGAATTAAATGCTGATTTTGATTCATTAAAGGATGTTCATTATTCGGCATGGTATACAGAGTTCTAATTCTAAAAACCCTTGCGTCATGTACTGTGCCAGGGGTACCAACAACTGCAATCAAGTGGTCAACTGCAGTTACCTGTAGAGCCTCCTTTATAAAGGGTAGATCAACAGATGTCCTCATATATTTATATGAATAGATAGATAGACTAGAGATACAACTTTCTATACTTACCACAAGGGTGAGATCCATGTCATCTTCCAATACTTCATCAATTAAGATTTCATTCATTTTTAATAAAATTTGCCCGGAAACTGAAAAATAGTTCTTAAAAACGCTACGGTATAGAATAATTTGAGAAAAAACAAAGTCCATGTTCAATGCGGATATTCTTTTTTCTTTTTTTTTACATACTGCAAGCTGATTGTAGCTTATAACTGGTGACGCTTAAATCAAATAATTGCGGTGATCCAATATCTGCGTATGACGTCATGTGTTTTTTATATATACGCGACTCGTACCAAATTGATTAACCTTGATGATCCCAGAAATTCGTTATGACGAAAAAATGGCATAGTGTTTCTTCGATCCGGCGCTTCCGCCATATACCGCTGGCAATGAATGCAAATAATTAAGCGGCAAAACAAATGACACTAAATTGAGTCACTTCGTTTGTCTAGTCAATACTACAACAAAATAAATAACTCCGGTTAATTTTGTATAGTATTAGAGACGACACAAAAGTGGCACTCCATTTTCTCCGGCACACAATTATAACCATATAGTTATTAGATAATATAGGGGCCCGACCATGTTAAAAATTGATGCGCCGCAATGGCACTGACACGACTCACTAACCTGTGTTCTATTTTCTTTCTAATAGACGATTTGCACACACTTAACTCGTTTTCCTAGACCGTTTAACGAGAACTAGGCATGTTTTGAAAAAATACTAAAAAATGCGGCATTTAAACTTATTGATGATATGTCAGCGGCCATATTGTTTGTTGATTGCCACAAGGTCATTGGCCATTGTTATGTGGTTGCTACCATATAGCCGCTAGAGATATAGAGGCTCTATCTAGGGATGTTCCGATACCATTAAAGTATCGATACCTACTCATTTTGATAGTACTCAAATCTTTTTTCGATATTACTCAAATAAATACTCCTAAAGTATCGATACTTTTAGCACTTTATTATAATTATTTTTATTTATTTTAAGTAAACTAACAATGAACGTTGAAGGGCAAAAATTAAAACAAAATTAAGAAGGAAAAGAATAAAGGTTTGCGCCACGTTAAGCACGTACTTTAAACAAAAAACTCCATGATAACATTGGAATAATAAGCCGATGATAACAATAAATAAAATTATTCGTAAGCAATCTCTTGTATGTTTGACAATTTATGTTGGTTGACAATGAAAAAAAATGAAGGGCGGATGTCTTTCTCGCTTTTGGCTCGGGCTCGGTCGGGAGGTTGATTCGATTTGATACCAAGTACTTTTGTTTCGATACCGAGTAAGTATCGAAAGATTGATTCGATACTACAAATACTTGGTATCGAATCAAAAGTACCGAATACCTACTCATATTTACTAGTATCGGAATATCCCTAGCTCTATCTATGCTGAGAATACAAGAAATTGTGAAGCAACTATGACAAAATTTTGAGAAGGTCCATTCAAAATGCGAATGAAAGAGATTTAAAATCTCCTTTTTAGCGAATGACATTCATTAACCACCATGGCCGTTAACAAGCCTTCAATAATAAGTGTGTGAAAATCGCTGTCTAGAAAGAAAATGGCACAAAGTGCAGATTGGTGGTATAGTTTTCTGTGACAGACTGCAAATGACAGTTGACAGCTATGACAGAACGAAAAATAAACGTGCACATGTTTCACAAGTTTTGTATTTCGAAAAACCGGTTGATAACAAAACAATCACACTCATAAGTGGCTGAAACGTAGAGGCAGGCGTAGAAAATAATTACCTCAATTAACAATGGTCTCGTGTGAGATTTAGATCCTTGCCAGGAACAATATTGGAGATGCAATAAGCACATGCGCGTCATTTGAAAACTCGATTTCAACCAATCATAGATAAATATTATTATATTGGTTATAGATAGGAAACTTTACTCTTGGAGAATAGAAACAGCATCGCTAGCGCCATCTAGTGCCATGTAAGAGACTAATTGCAAAGTTCAGAACCAAATTCCTTATTTCTTTTTCTGTTTTTAACTTTTGAATTCGAAATTTAGTAATTGGCGCGACTGTACTTGCAGTAATTTGACGGGTGAAAAAAGGTTCACGCAATTTTTGTTCGGGACCTCGTTCCTGTCGAATTAAGAGGATAAGTCTACGGAAAAAATAAAATCATTTGAATAACAAAACAAAAATAACTGCAACTGCGAAATGCTAACAAAATACAAAGAAACTTACTACTACGCAAAATACTCAACTTCATAATAAAAAAGAGGCCTACAAATGCGTACGGACACGAATTTTAAATTTGAAACGTTTCTTTCGACTTGTGTCTTCTTCTTTTATTTGCAGAGCCTCTGATGGGATGTAAGCGATTAAACGCGGTGAGAAAAATTTGAGAGAGTGCCCGTTGACATTTCAATGTTATGCCTGTTGTCCACCAAACTCACCAAACGGAAAAAAAACACACGAACTCGAATCCAATAAAATAAAACTTTTCGCAGCTTGTGTTTTGGTTAGAGTGAACTTTTTGAAGACTGCCGTGTTTTGGAAGCGTTAAAATGCATAGTAGTTTCTTTAGTAAAAAGGATTCCCGTTTTCTATTCTCAAGTTTGTTCTTTTGGATAAGAATTAGTTACTGGTAGGTTAGCATAACATAATATAGTATATTACGCAACAAGTGCGGTAAACGGCAATTGACTAACGAGTTTATTTGACACGATCGGAGCGAGTGTTTAATAAACGAGTGAGTTAAAAAGTTTACCGAACGTGTTGCATACTATACTTTTTCTACGACCTCTAGTTTTTGGTCACATTTTTGCAAAAACAACACGAATACATTCAATGACATGACCGTCAAAATTGACAAACGTCAAAATTCAAAGCGTGGGAAATATATCCGAAAACATCCGGTTGCTCCCAAACCCGTGCGGTAAAATCCCGGAATTGTCCGACGTGGCTCGGATTCGTGGGAAACGAAACTGACTTGTTAAAGTGACGCTACGCTAGATCGGTGCGTAATTAGGTATTTTACAGACGGGAGTAGAAAAAGGTATTTTTATAGATATGTGGGAGAAATTTAATAGATCTTTATTAAAAGGATTGCTATATATCAGACTAAACTAAACACTTCCTTGATTATTATATATTTAACTCATGGCAACAATCAGTGGAATGGGATTGAAAACAAAAACAGCTCATACAAAACACAGTTGGGAACAGGGTTTGGATTTGTTTTAGTTACCTTTTACGTTCCAAATGCCTTCTTTTTGTCTTTTTCATTAAATGGCCTCCGACGACCGAGTGAATGCCGGGATAAGCATTCCACCTCTAACTTGCCAACGGCTAAGGGCGGATGAGCAAGTAGGGGAAAGGGCACTCTTTTGTCCTGAGGTTGAGAAATCGGCCTCAAAGGCGGACGAATTACTAACAGTAATCAACGGCGTAAGGATACAGAAGGCAATGGGAAACCACTGTATTAAAGATCACTAAGATATTCCAAGAAGACAATTATGGTAGAAGTATCACAAACAACGGCCCCCAGTCCGCGGCAGACTTTAAATAGTCAGGGGGTGCGAAGAATACCCGCGAAGAATAATGCTAGGACCCACCCGAAAGTGGAAAAACAATCGAGTTGTAGACTCGGTACTTGGAACGTAAGGACCTTGTATACCGCAGGGAAATTGGACAATCTAGTACAGGAAATGGAACGCCACGAGATAGACATACTAGGCCTCGGTGAAGTTAAATGGCCGAACAGTGGCCAATGCACGACCGAAAAAGCAACACTCTACTATTCCGGAAACAATCATAACAATCACTGCAACGGAGTCGGTTTTATAGTACACAAAAATATCGGGAAGTCCGTAAAAAACTTCATAGCCCACTCGGATAGGGCAGCTCTCATACGGCTGAAAGCTGCCCCAGTTGACATTAATATCATACAGGTATATGCCCCAACACTGGATAAACCGGACACCGAAATGGCACAACTCTATAAGGAAATAAAAGAACCGATGAAGCTAGCCGGAAAGAAGGAAGTTCTCATCATCATGGGCGACTTTAATGCCAAGATTGGTCGAGGTCGAGTGGACAGTGTGGTCGGAGATTTCGGTCTCGGAGACCGCAACAAAAGAGGCGATACCTTGGTACAATTCTGCCAAGAAGAAAGACTGGTCGTCGCAAATACATGGTATAAACTCCCGTTAAGAAGGCTATATACCTGGCAATCACCACAACACTCACCGGACAATATAGTGAGAAACCAAATAGATTTTCTACTAATCAGCCAGAGATACAGAAACGGATTGCACGGAGTGAGAACCTACCCTGGTACCGACATCGGCTCAGACCATAACCCAGTGGTGGGAACGCTCAATATTAAATTAAAGAAAATAAGACGGCCACATAAGAAGAAGATAAACATAAACAACATTAAGAGGCCCGAGATAAGGACGGAGGTACACCAGAGGATAAACAGAGCAGTCAGCTTAGTAAGAAACTCGCCTCAACAACCAGCGGGTGTGGAAGTTGTCTGGAATCGACTGAAGGACGCGATAACCACCACCACAAATGATATAGTGGGACCACCTATCAACAAGAGAAGGGAATGGATGACCTACGAGATCCTTGGGCTGATGTCTGAACGCCGTTCATATAAGAATAAAAATCAAGTCAGATACAGGGAGCTTGACAGACGAGTTAAAAAAGAGATACGCAAGGCCAAAGAACAATGGCTGCGAAGAAATGGAAGAATTAGAGAGAAAACATGATCACTTTAACATGCAGAAACTTCTCAAGAATACCACGCGCTGTTCAAGACCCTGTAAGACAAACAACATCCTCGACGATAATAACAACATCATCACCGACACGGAAAAACTGCTAAATCACTGGAAGGACTATACCGAACTACTCTTCCGGGATAATAACCAAAGAGCTTTTATAGACACCGCGACGGGAGATAATTCCCCCGAAATTTTAAAATCCGAAGTCCTAAAAGTTATAAAACAAGGAAAGCAGGGAAAAGCAGCGGGGCCGGACGATATCTATATGGAATCGGTGAAGCTGTTGGATGGCGAGAATATTGAGATCCTAGTGCAACTGTTTAACACAATATACAGTACAGGCCAAATACCACAAGACTGGCTACAATCAGTCTTTGTGCCTATACCAAAAAAGCCTAACCCTAATCGATGCGACCGGTTCCGAATGATCAGCTTGATGAGCCAGGTCCTAAAGCTTTTCATTAAAATAATCCATAGAAGAATTTATGGCAAATGTGAAAAAGAAATCGGGCCCACCCAATTCGGATTCAGGCGGGGATTCGGCACACGAGAAGCACTCTTCAGCTTGAACATCTTACTCCAAAAATGCCGAGATCAACGAAAAGACGTCTTTCTGTGCTTCATAGATTATCAAAAAGCATTTCACTGTGTCAACCACACAGAACTAATGAGTCTACTGCAGGAGAAAAGAGTGGATAAGGGCGATCTTTCTTTTATAAAGAACCTGTACTGGAACCAGACAGCCTCTGTAAGGGTGGGAAATGAAACCACGCAAAGTTTCCCGATAGAGAGAGGCGTAAGGCAAGGATGCGTCTTGTCTCCTCTTCTTTCTAACTTATACTCCGACTCCGTATTTGACCGAGCACTTTTTGAGACGGATGATGGCATAAAGATCAATGGTCTCCCAGTCAACAACCTCCGCTACGCAGATGATACCGTAATTATTGCTGAAAGTCAAGAAGCACTACAACGCCTTGCCGATAGAATATCTGCGACGGGAGAACGCTCGGGCCTAAAGATTAACGTTGAAAAAACTAAGGTCATGGTCATAAGCAGAACACCAGATGTGCGTTTGGACGTCTCGACTGGAGGAAAACGGATACAGCGGGTCTCTAAATTTAAGTATCTTGGTAGCTGGATAACCGAGGACCTAGACCCAGATATGGAAATTCGTGGTAGAATCGAACAAGCTAGGGCGACGTTTATAAAAATGAAACCCATACTGACCAACCCGAGTCTTAGTTTGAGACTACGCTACCGCTTCATAAAGTGCTACGTGTACTCGGTGTTACTTTATGGCGTCGAGGTCTGGACCCTTAAGGCTGGCACTATGAATCGAGTGGAAGCATTCGAGATGTGGGTATTTAGGAGAATGCTCAAAATCGCACGGACAGATCACGCCACCAACGACGAAGTCCCGAGGCGCATGGGGATGGAGAGAGAGTTGTTGCAACTGGTTAAACGAAGGAAAGCAGCTTACCTGGGCCACATCTTCAGAAATACAAAGTACCAATTCCTTAAGCTCATCATGGAGGGAAAAATAGAAGGAAAGCGAGGCATCGGTAGAAAGAAGAATTCATGGCTCAAAAACATTAGGGACTTGCCAGAATTGTCGCCAACATCCAGTGAAATGGATATGGCACCTTAAGAAGAAGATAAAATGGCCGCTAGAGGGCGCAACCTTTACTTTAAAATAGGAAAAACGGGTTTCCTCAAAAATTTGCCAAATTCACTTATATCAAAATTAGTGTTAACATTATCTAATCTAGATTAAGAAACTGTTTTTATTTACCATTTTTTTCTGTCTCGTCAAATTAAGGGCGGGAAGGGGCAAGTGTTGGTTTAGAAATTTGAATAACGTTTCTTTTTGGCCAATCCGACTTCGGCGAACTTGGTTTAGTTTTAAAGAGTATTTACAGGAGCTTCGGCATGTCAATATCACGACATTAATTCTTTTAGGAGGAGGCACTTCGCGTCAAAAACAGTTATTTTTATGATTTTCTCGAAAATTTTAAATATAATGGTATAAATATTTTTAGCTAAGATGAAATTAGTAAAAGAACACAGAAATTAATCGATAGAAAAAAAATTGAAACAAAAAAGTTTCCTTATCAGGAGATTACGTTAAAACTAATTTTGATATACGTTAATTTGGCATATTTTTGAGAAAACCAGTTTTTAAATTTTACCGGTTCCGCCCCCCTAGTGACCATTTTATGAACCTGAAAATAATTTCCAACTTTTTCTCTTGCCTGGTTTACCCATAAATATTTTTTGTTCCAACTTGTAGGACTCTTATTAATTTCTATGAGAAACATAGACCAATTGTATTTCATGGTAAATTTATTGTTACCAGCACAAAAACCACAAAAAATTCTCGTTAAACTTTAATACAACCAATAATTAAAATAACAGGTAGTGATTCAAATATAATGATACCAATAGGTCACCTTCCATTATTATATCACAAAAAAAATTAAACCTCTCACTCTCAACATAAAATATATTATTCTAGTAACAAGTCAAAAAATAATAATAACCTATTTTAACCGAAAAATATTAATATGTTAAAAAAATATTCAGTAAGTGAAAAACATTGCATAATAAGGTCCACAAATTACCGGTTAGAAGAGGAAAGCTCGGCAAAAACATCCAAAACTTCTAAGGCACTAGTTAGCAGGCACTTCAGCTTCCTTCTTCAACTCCGGTTCATTCTTAGCTTCCCTTTCGACATCGGTTTCCTTCTTCACCTCCGTCTCTCCATCATTCTCCCTCTTCGGACTCGTTTTGATATTGCAAGCGTTATCTGGAGGGCTGGTATCCACAGGCGGAACAGAATTACTATCGATGCTGGCAACTTCCTCTTGGGAGTTGTTCTTAATTTCGGAAGATTCCTTCGTTTCAGACTCTTTCCTTTCCGACTGAGAATTCGAACGACCTTTGCTGGTTGACTTTTGCCTTGGTCTCGGTCTGTTGTTATTGTACCTATTGTTCCAACTACCGGTCTTTGGTTGTACCGGCTTCTTCTGGGGATCGAAGAAACAATCCAGAATCTCCAAGAGCTCGTTCAAATCGGTTTCCTTCGCGTTCGCAACCTATAAAAACGGAAAATTTGACTGAAGTCTGAACCAAACAGACTTTTCAAAATGGCCGCTTGTGACTGTTTTTACAAGATTGGATCTTTCGAAGGGTGGACTCGGACAAAATGGCAAATGGAACCCCGCTCCCAGTTATATACACTAAATAAAAGTAAGTGTTTTTATTTGGTAACTTTTACTTTTTCACTTGTAGAGTGTCCCAAATACGAAGTTGCGCATTTTAATGCTTAAACTGAGAAAATCCCAATTCATTCCGGAGATATTTTTTTTTCAATTCTTTCCTGGGCTTAATTATTATTATTATTTTTTTAAACAAACTGCAATGCAAGCTGGCATTATTGAATTTTAAGTAGGGCGTTTCGGTTTTCTGTGCCCATCATCAAACCTAATTTAAACACATAACTTAATTATTTACTAAACAACACCGCCCTAAAATTGATAAAGTCAAATAAATTGACACGATAAACTAAGTTTGCAATTAAACAAAATCATTTACGTAAATTATTAAGTGACCGTTACGTTTTACTGTTGTATGTAATTACAGATTATTAATTTTAATAAGTTTGTTCTTCTCCTCTAAAATATCTTTTTATATTTTTTTTAAAAAACGCCTTTTTTTGCTACAGCAATAATTAGCTAGCACAGTAAAATGTAATTAAAACTCTTTGTATGTAATGTTTTTGTTTCATGGCCACCTAATTTTCTGTGCGAATTTGTGATATCATTTTGTAAATCATTAAATATGATACACGTATTCTTTGAGAATGACAATTGAGCGATTTTATAGCATAATAGTACTATAGTGACAATGGCAGTTTGTTTCCCTTTTATATATATATATATATATATATATATATATATATATATATATATATATATATATATATATATATATATATATATATATATATATATATATATATATTATTAGTGTTATTATTTGGAAATGGCTCAGCATATCACTGAAATAAATCAAATCACATTGTTTTTAATAATAATTTTGGTGTCCAGTATTTCCAGGTCAAAGATGGAGTATTCCTTATAAATCACCCCATATTATCATAAACTTTTAGTGTATGGGGCAAAAGTGCCAGAAAGTTTAAAAATTTAAACAAAAAAAAACTTTTCCCAATTCAACACTTTCAAATGAGACATATGCTTACTTCATCTTTTAAAATTTTTTCAAGTCCTTCCTTGCCGCCCACATCGTAAGCGTCCTTAAGCTTGTCATAATTGAAATTGTTCTCGGCCAAAAGTCTCCTCAGGTGACTAGCGTGTTGTCTTTCGTGCGGACCGGCCCTCATCAAGGCCCCAAACACTGGCCGAAACGTATTTTGCCTTTGCAATATTACCTAAAATTGAAAAATCGTCAAAACTATCCTCTGAAAATCCTTTAAACTTTAACGAAAGCGACATTTTTCCGTGTATCATAGACTTACATTTGCCAGATGCATAATTTATAAACATTTGCTTTATCAAGGTCATAACTTCTATTGTGTATAAACACAAACTCCTATCTATTGCTATCACTTTCCTAGTTTTATGATAAGTGCTTATTACCATATAAAAATGATAATACATATACAGTGCTTATAATAATTAAAATTTCAATTGAATTTTCTGCATTTGCGCAATTACTACAACAAAGTAACAAGAAAAAGATAAGGGACACATACACTTTTTTATTTAGCAAAAATGTTGAAATAAAAGAGTGACCTTAATACAGATAACCCTTCCTAAATATAAACTTCACGAATAGAAATATATTCAATAAAAGTTAAGCACCTTAAAGACCTCAATTTCTTCCTCTTCCGCGGATATAGGATTGGTAAATGGGCAAACCAAGTCAATCAAGTTTTTCTCGTTTACTGAGGCTGCGTTATCGGTAATCGTCTCATCACCCAAGTCTTCCCGTTCCCCTTGCGCAAGATGTACCAAAATGTTATAAACGGCAGAGGCCCTGCCCACTGCTGTTCTAAAATCAACATCTTCCTTGCTTAATAAGACTCTTGACATAACCTTCAAGTTGTATGTCTTTGTACTGCTCTTGCATTTTGATTTAGCTACGTTGAAGCCGTTTGCGAAGCCCTTGACGACATTTTTAAAATGATCTAATAAATTGTTCCTCTTCAAAGCTTCCAAAAGCATTCCTGGAATTGATTTTCTCCCTTCGTGAGAAACTAAAATTATCCCTTCTGAATCGCCTTTGACTTTCTCAAGCCAATCCACGAAATCGGCCAAGGCAGATATTTCACTTTTGGTCTTCAGAAACTTTCCCGTTGTCATATCCTTCAGACGCCTGTATCGGAAAGTGTTAAATACTCGAATATTATGCCTCCTACTGTAGAAAGGGTTCAGGTCTGTGAAAGGCATTATGTATTGGGAGAACTGGGACTCTGGGGTATATGCTGCAATTTGTACTATTTCGTCGATAAGACGGCGACCCGTCGTATCCACAGCCCATCCTACTAAACGATAATTGCCAATGGGGATGATACCTTTAGGTGCAATTTCCTGAAGTTGAGATGCTGTATTTTCATCACTGGAACTGGAAGTGTCATGTTGAACCATTTTTGGTGTGGGTCTGTAAAAAAAAAATTACTTAACCCTCAAAATTTGTAAACAGAGAGCACGTGGCGAAAGGAAATCGTACCACCCCGCCTCAATGTTTTACAAGAAAAAATTCACTAATCTTAAATTGACATTAGCTTTTAATTCACAAATCAAAACTGGAAAACGCAAAAATTAAACTTAAAACCAAAAAAACGTACCTTTTCGGCGGCTAATAATAGTCTCAAAGACCTATAAACTTTCCTTCGAGTTCGGGCAATCAAATGAAAACTGAAAATATAAGTAAATGCATCTACACGTGTCGACGCGAGAGGATAAAAAAAATGTGTAAAAAAAACGCTGGGTCAGCATTGATAGCGAGGACGTTCCATCTAATAAAAAACCCGCAACTTACTTTTTTTAACGGCTTTCAAAAACAACCATAAAAGTATTCGGCTAGAGACAACTGAATATTTACTTCAAAATGATAAACAACCTCAAGTAACTAGATTAATGCTTCAAGCATAGATAAATTTTTTAATCATGTATCGCGTTTACACCAGTGAGTTAATTGCAGTTGAACAGTTGCAAATATAAATTGAGATTAGATTATACATATTGTTATATCGCACATATAAATGACGTACATATTCTACGTTTGCACATACATTACTACGATTCTTAGATAGAAACAATTTTTAAAAAAATCGAAATAGTAAAAATACGTTGGAATCTACGCGAATCTCAACAGTTTTTCGATGAAATGAAACGAATATCAAAGTCACGGTCGCGCCCTTGAAAATATTGTCATTGAAATTATTCTAAAAATTTTTAGATTAGACGAAACGCGTATAAATTAAACAACAAAGTACCTACTCCGACCGTCAGAAATTTCAAACGGACAATTTTTTTTCTTTGGTAGGTTTGCAGGTTATGTCATAAATTTATTCCCTCCGTCTCTATGATCCATCTCCGAATTTTTTAATCAATTGTGTAACACGTTGGGTTTTATCTTAAGAGAAATGTTGAAATTTCACACAGTTAGTGATCAGTGTTTTTGGTGGAAGTAAGTTGATATCTTAATAATTAAAATGTCGAACCCAATTAAAAACCCGAAAACCACTTCAAGAACCAGAATTGAAAGTTTTACATCCATCAATGAAAAACCAGTGGACGACATATCTTTGGACTTTTTTTACAAGCCTCACACTATAACCCTATTGTTGATTTCAATAGGCGCAGTGATATACTTTGCTTTCATCAGAGAAACTGATGATACAGAAAAAAATATTTCCGCTGGTCTTCTATGCTGCTGCTTTTTCTTTCTGATTATATCAGTGTTGGCTTTTCCAAATGGACCTTTTATCCGACCTCATCCTGCAATATGGAGAATGGTGTTTGGCATGAGTGTTCTGTACTTGCTAGGATGCCTTTTCATCCTGTTCCAAAATTATTCAACGGTAAAAAGTATACTGTATTGGTTCGATCCCAGCCTAAAAGACTTTCACATAGATTCAGAAAAGGAATATGGAGTAAACTGTTCCGATATTACGTTTGAACGCATTTGGAGTCATGTTGATGTGTTTGCTTTTGGACATTTTTTTGGTTGGATGTTTAAAGCAATACTGATTAGACATATGGCCATCCTTTGGGCCACCAGCGTCATGTGGGAAATTACAGAACTGGCTTTTGCTCATTTGCTGCCGAACTTTGTAGAGTGCTGGTGGGACGCTTTAATTCTTGACGTATTGATCTGTAACGGATTGGGCATCTGGTGTGGCTTAAAAATTTGCCAGGCTTTGGAGATGAGAGAATACAAGTGGGAAAGCATAAAAGATATTCACTCCACCACAGGCAAAATTAAAAGGGCGGTGCTTCAGTTTACCCCAGAGAGCTGGACTTCTGTGAGATGGCTGGACCCCAAGTGTTCCTATATGAGAGTGATTGCGTTTTGTGAATTAGTGCTATTTTGGCAAGTGTCAGAATTAAACACATTCTTCCTAAAGCACATTTTCGAAATGGCCCCGTCCCACCCCTTTGTTACGGCTCGTCTAATTTTAATCGGTGTGATAGTGGCTCCATCCGTGAGACAGTTCTACTCGTATGTCACAGACACTACATGTAAACGAGTTGGAACGCAGTGCTGGGTGTATGGTTGCATAATGGTTTCAGAATCTCTGATTTGTATTAAACACGGACAAGAATTGTTTAAACAGACACATGCTGTAAATATTATTCTATGGTTTATTGTACAAATACTCCTTTCCATTGTTTTTGTAGTCAGCTATGCATTCTATCACAAATATTGCCCACAGAAACAGACCCAATCTTTATCAACATTAAACGAAACCAATAAAAAAAATAAATAAGTCACCCACAGTAGTCCATTCAGTAGTTGGCAATTTGAATAAAGTGTAAACCAAAGAAAATGTCAAGATATTTATATAACCATTCAAATTACTTTCGTCGTGAATATAAATAAATGAAATATTTCGCATTTTTGAATTTTTATTTATTACATCTACAATTTGCTTGCATTAGAACACAATTTCATTAACAAACTACAATAGAAATAACTTCACGACATTAAAGGTTATTGAGTTGTTTAGAATTAAAGCAATTGTAGTTATAAAACAAGAATAATATGTAACTTGAGTGTTCGCGAAAATTTGATATATATGCTCTTAATGATAAAGAAACTGTTAATTTGTGATGTAATTTTAACCTTTGCCACTCAAGGATACGTAACTATTTTAATTTCATAAGTCCTGATGCTTTTAGTTGTGGCTTTGATATTTCTGGAAAATTTTCTTTATCTCTAAGCAGTTCAAATCTTTAAATATAAAATATCATGCATAGTGGCATAGTATCATAAAATTTTATCATGAATATAGGATTTCTTATTTTGTATCTTACTGCATAGGTCGTCAAGATTAATTTAAGAAATGATCGAAATTCTTCTTCGACAAATAATTTTAATGTGATTGATAGTCGGCGATAACGGTAAATGACGCTTTTATTTGGAAAGTATACAATAATTGTTCTGTGTTTTCCGATGGGCGAGTACCCTTTATTAAAAATAGTGAGAAGAATATTCCTTTTTTGATATTTTTGATCTCTGCAATCTTCATCAGTAGGAACCATAGATAAGATTCATAAATAAAAACAGGGTAGTTGGCAGCCGAAAGTAGTGAAGTGGTTGTAAAAGTTTTTGGGATTTAATTTTTTATTTCCCCTTATGTGAGTCGATTGTGTTCGATTTTTTTTCGATGTATACTTATTGTATTTTATATTCTTTACATAAGTATTACAAGCAAATGCCTTTATAGTAGAATACAAAAAGATTATTGTTGTTGCTCTTTTGACCTTTGATAAGTACCTTGAGTATTCATAATTTTAATTGTTCATTAGTGATTTTCATTGTATTTTGAGGTGTGTATTATTTCCCAGTTTTAATTTAAAAAATATTTATTGCTAATGTTTGTAATATATATTTGAAAATTCAGTCAACTTTGCCTCCAATCATGACTGGCTTACGATTTGATGGTCAAGTTGTAATTGTAACTGGAGCGGGAGCAGGGCTGGGCAGAGCTTATGCTCATTTGTTTGCGTCAAGGGGCGCAAAAGTCGTTGTGAATGATTTGGGTGGCAGCAGACATGGTGACGGAAGCTCATCCAAAGCTGCCGATACTGTGGTTGAAGAAATTAAAAGAAATGGTATTGATTATTATTAAATGTTTTGTATTGAATCCTATAAGGTTCTTTTTTTAAGGTGGTAATGCAGTGCCTGATTATAACTCTGTGGTCGAGGGCGAAAAAATAGTTAAAACTGCACTCGACAACTTTGGGCGTATCGATATTTTAATCAATAATGCCGGTATCTTGAGGGACAAGAGTTTCGCGAGAATATCAGATCAAGATTGGGGTAACTTTGCAAATTCTAAAAGGGGCCGTGTATCCTGAGGGGTTTTATTTGCAGATTTAATACAAAATGTACATTTAAAAGGTAGCTTTAAAACGTCACAAGCAGCTTTCCCAATAATGAAGAAGCAAAAATTTGGCCGCATTGTTATGACTTCATCAAATTCTGGACTCTACGGTATGTTTTAAAACATTTTGAATGAGTATTTAGGGAATATGGGAAGTATCAGTAATGACGGTTTATATTTATTCATTTCTGTTAAATTACAGTAGACAATTTCGTGAGTTAATCTTTGTGAGATCTTATCATTATTTTGTAAAAAATGTTTGCCTAATTGAAGTATTTCTTATCAAAATGGTTGGGATAACATTTAGTATCTTTTGATCAGTCTGTCTATGAACCATGTTCAGAGTTTTATTTTCGTCTCTTTCAAAGAATAATTTAAAAATATGTAAGGCATTATATTATATAGACTTTATAATTTCTCCCATACCTTTGCAGGGAATTTTGGCCAAGCCAATTACTCTGCTGCCAAGATGGCGTTAGTTGGATTGGCGAAAACGATCGCCATCGAAGGAGCTTCAAGTAACGTCTATTGTAATGTAATCGTACCAACTGCTGCCAGTAGATTGACCCAGGATATACTACCGCCTGAGATTTATGATGAATTAAAACCGGAATTGATAGCACCGGTTGTTGTATGTTATTGCGAGACAATTTACTTTACCTTTATTTAATAACATTTAATGCTATTAGGGTTACTTGAGTCACGAGTCTTGCAGTGAAAATGGTTCGATTATTGAAGCTGCCGCAGGATGGGCAGGAAAATGTTCTATTGTTAGGTCAAACGGGTCAGTGTTAAGGTCAAACATCAAGGACAATGTAACCTTGGAAAATGTTAAGGAGAATTGGGGAAAGATCGTGGACATGTCTGATGCAAAGACCTTTCAATCCATTCAAGATGTTACAGGCGCCCTAGTCGGTTCTTTGGAAGGGCAAGCGGGCACTACGGGAGATTCGGGAGTAGACAGCGGGAGTGAAAATGAGGACATCTTTAATTTTTCGGATCGAGACACTATTTTATACGCTCTTGGTGGTAAGTGGGAAAACATTTTCAGATAACCAATATTTATGTTATATAATGTTAGTTTGTGCCTGATTAATAAAATCAAATCAAGTCAAATTGTGTGGCAAAGAAATAAATAATACATTTAATATCCTTGGCAAGCCCACACAAAGATTAGTATATATCAATGTTTTTTTTTTTTTAATGTAGGACTTAATTCTAGGTATATAATTGTTATTAAAAATGGAGAAAGTTGCAAGTATTTCTGCGTGAAATATATTGAAAACAAATAGACTGAATAGGCAGATATAATTATTTTGTTCTATGTTATATAATTTGGAGCATTAAATTTCTTCGCAGTACCTTTATTTAGTTTGATATCATTTGGGAAAAAATTATAGGTAAAAATATAAGGTAATGTTGACGTAGGCATCTATTTAATCATTTTGGGTAATTTAAGGTATTGGTTTATATTACACTTGATTGATAATTTGGAGTATTTTACTTATTGTAGGATTTAAATACCTACACTATCGGACAAAAGTAGAGCAACAAGCATATTTTTTTAGTATTTTTTAAATAAAAAAAAATTTGGTTCATATTTTTTGCTAGTTATGATGAAATACTTTCCTTGCATAGCAAGTAATTTTTCACAACATTTTGGGTGTACCTTAAGTTAGTTGATGAAAGCTAAATAATAATTAATATAAAATTTGACGAAAATGAAGGTGACAAAAGTAAAACAACAAATTGTATGTAACAGTGTTTTATTTTATTTTATTTCAAAAAGTTGTATTTAACAGTATTGTATTGTATTCTATAAAAAAAACATTAAACCCACATTTTAGTACAATAATAATAATTAAAATTATGCCTTAATAATTTATAGAATATACTTTATTGAGAATTACCTGCTGGCAACGGCGCGGCATTGACTCTATCTACTATTGAGTGACATTTTCTGGAAGATTTGTCCAAACTTCATTTATTTTATCTATCAACGATTGTTTATTTGGAAACATTTGTGCACGAATGCGACGTTCTACTTCTTCCCAGAGATTTTCAATTGGGTTAAGGTCTGGCGCCTGTGCCGGCCACTGCAAAACTCTAACATTGTTTTCTGCAAACCACTGTTGAACGAGTTGTGAAGAGTGTTTTGGATCATTGTCCTGTTGGAAAATAAAACAACGGCATTTCCCACTCTGCATAAGGGAGCATAACATTTTGCATAATCTCCCTATAAACAAATCGATTCATTGTCTCATTAATGAAGTGTATAGGACCTACTCCATTCCATGAGAAACAACCCCATAAAAAAACACTGCCTTTACCATGTTTAATTGTAGCTGTTAGGTACTTAGCGTTAAACCTTGTATTAATTGGTCGCATCACACGTCGCATTCCATCAGAATTGAATATTTTATATCGCGTTTCATCGCTGAATAGAACTTTTTTCCAGTCATTGATGGTCCAGTTTAAATGCTGGCGTGCAAAGGCCAACCTTCCTGCTTTGTTTCTTGCTGAAACTAGCGGTTTTTTTGCTGGCCGTCTACTGAACAACTTTCAAGCTACTAATCTTCTTTGCACACTTCGTATACCAACCGTAATTTCTGGAATTTCGGCAATTATTCGAGGTGCGGACTTCCAAGGATCTTGTTGAGCAATTCTCTTAATGCGCCTGTCAGTCAAAACCGTTGTTTTTTTGGGTCTTCCCGATTTCGGCAATTTTTCTAAGTGTCCTCTGTCATTATACGATGAAATTATTCTAGATACGCGGTACCGAGGTAACATAAACTGTCTTTTGAAATTGGAATTGGAATTCCTCTTGGCATAACTAGTCCTGCACACAAATGGTTAACTTAGCACAAAATAAATCCAACACGAGTTATTTTTGCATTTACTTTTACTAAAATCGTCTTTTTGAACAAATTTTCGAAATGTTTAACGCGTAGCTAATACGCATTTAAAACTAATGTCAAAATAAATTCATTTGTTTTGTTTGTGATCATCAATAAATCATAGCCTACTTTAATGTCTTCATTTTTGCATACAATACCTTGCATGTATAATCATAATGTTGGGACTTGTGTTAAATATATCTTATTTTTGAAGATGTTGCTCTACTTTGGTCTGATAGTGTACATCAGCGCAGCAGGCAGTAATAACTATTATTTTTAAGTCACTTATTTCATGCTTATACAAGTTGTTTGAGGAAAAAGCTCATGTTTATAATCATGTTTTCCATTGCTTTAAGTTTTTTTAAGATTGTTTTCATATACCTCACCCAATAATAATATGCCCTATCTCAGAGGTTCAATGAGAGCATTATATAATAAAAGAAAAGAGAAAGAAGTTGTCTTAATAAATAAAATTTATGCAATATTGCTTCTATCTTTTTCATATGTGATTTGAATGTTGCATTTATGATATTTACGAATAGATCTAGTGCAAGGTTTGGTTCTTCAAGGCCTAGTGGTTCATTCCATTCTTTATTTTTTGGTATATTATACCATAATTTTAATTCTTATGTCAGTTTTGTTTGAACACTCATTTATTTGGCAATTGATCAGTTATGTCATAGTCGACAATATACGGTTTAAAGTATAAGTAGTTGTTCCTCCATTTTTGTTTGTGAGTCGGGCCTTGTAACATCCTCATGTGACGAAAAAAAATCCATATATTTTCATGAGCGAGATGTACTGAGTCACTATATTGTCATTATTGTCCAATATATTTAAATCGAGGTCTTCTAAGAATAATGACACATTCAATTCAATTCAGTCATTCAAAACTTCAGTGTATTAGAGTTTGGAAAACAATTGCATACTAATTCTACTTGTTACTTTGGAAAATTGATGAAATGAAATTTTTCGAAAGTATCTACGCTCATATAAATATTTTATATCTCGGCAACCTAGTATTTTTTAAAAATAGAAAATCGCGTTTGAAAGAGTCTAAGAAAAAGACCATTTCTGGAAAACCGTTAATGCGATCGATAAAGTTGTTTAACATCAAGATCCGCGATATCCAGTGCTATAAATCCTTATTCTTGGTAATTTTCAAAAATGTAAAGTGTACGCCGGGTATTCGCAAAAAACTGAAAATTTCCCCTGGGATAACTAGAACTTATCAATTTCGTATACATGGCCATGTAGCCCCTATGGACAGCTATTTGTATTTATAGATTTCACATATTGTACAGGGTGTCTGTGCTACATCGACATCAAATTTGGAAGGGATATAAAAGCCTCTACCGTCATCTATATTGTAAAAACTAGGCGCAATCAAATATTGTCAATTATGTTTTTTAAATTTTTCATTTTTTGTGTGTAATATTTTGGCTTCCAAAGAAAAATTATTTTATCGAAAAAATTCGTGATCCAGCAACTGTAAAAGGTCCGGTGCAAAACTTATATTTCAAGTATTTTTTAGATTATATATAGCGTTTTTCATTTATTGATAAAAATCTGAAAGACTTTGAAAATTGTTCTTTTCGAAAATCAATTATTAACTAGGCCGCATGCAGAGCTACAATTGCTGTATTTACATACGCTGCTCGAGATATTTGAAAAAATCCATAGAAAATAATTATTTTTTCTTTAGAAAAAATTTATAGACCAGGAAGCGCAAGAGATTCCGGGCTATAACCTCTACTTCGAATATTTTCGAATTATATACAGGGTGTTTCGTTTATGAGCAAAAAATCTAAAAAATGCAGAAAGTTTGCATTTTTTTTTGGGTAAATTATTTTTACCGTAAAACGGAAAAAGACAAGATAATTTAGTTTAAACAGCTTGGTAAACTGTGTGGAGAGATAGTTTTAGGTTTCTATCATTCAGGGTGCGCTTGATATTTGATAAAACATAATTGGTAATTGCTATTATTTGTACAAATTTTGATATTTATCAAAGTTTACCGTGACTTTGAAGTTCGGCGAGAGGTGAAAGTCAGTTTATACAGGAGGGTTCATGCACAATATAATTATATCGATTTTGCGAAAGTTCCATGGTGGTCCGCAGAAGCACGAGAAAAAAGCAGGACGGCTTTTTTTAAATATTTTTCGAAAGCAATCTTGTTACCGTGATTGTATTATTATAATATATATCAAAACCGATTTGCGCAAAGAAGTTGACATTAGATTAGTACCAATATATCAGCATTGCAAATTATTTTACATTCAAGGAACACTAGCACAAAATTTTGATTTCACTCCTCTTAAGCATTGGTGGCGGCTCTATAATAACTTATTTAAAAATGATCTTGATCTTACAAAAAAAAACTTGTTTCAGTGGGCGCTTCACTTAAAAACCCCAAGGAATTGAAATTTCTATATGAAAACCACGAAGATTTTCAAACACTTCCGACATTTTATATTTTGCCGTCCCTTCAGGCTAATTTTAATTCCGATTTTACGGCGGCCGTCCCCGGCAAAGATGTTAACCTGAGCCAGGTATTGCACGGCGAGCAGTATCTCGAAGTGTTCGGTGATTTGCAGTCGGAAGGACAGTTAATTTCTAAAGTTACCATCGCCGAGGTGCTGGACAAAGGCTCTGGCGCAGTTGTCGTAACTAATGGTAAGTTAAATTGATTCGTATTTAAATTGTTGTATTTTTCTTAAACTTTCGCTTTTCAGTTGATTCGTTAAATCAGAAAGGTGACCTGGTAGCTAGAAATCAAATTGTGATATTTGCCGTTGGGGCCGGTAACTTTGGTGGTCCGAGAACCGGTACTAAAACAATACCTTGCCAAAATAAACCGGACAGAAGTCCCGACGCGTCCGTTGTACAAAAAACAAGTATAGATCAAGCTGCGTTGTACAGATTGTCAGGTAGTGTATAAAAAATACAGTTCACTAGCCTCTAGAATTTTTAAAAAGAATTATCAATATATTAAGAGTCCTAACAGAAAAATGAAATTGTAGAGTTATGTGTTCAATTATCTTCTAATTTTTCCAGCCATTTTGAAAAAAAAAAACAACCCTTTTTGTGAAACTTTGCCTGATACAGTTCACTAGTCTTTAGAATTTTCAAAAATAATTATCACTATATTAATTGTCCTAACAGGAAAATGAAATTGTAGTGTTATGTGTTCAATTTTCTTCTAATATTGCCAGCCATTTTGAAAAAAACGACAATATAGGTTCTGAAGCTCTGCCTTCATTTTGAAATACAAATTGTACAGATTGTCAGGCAGTGTATGGAAACTGCAGCTCACTAGCCTCTAGAATTTAAAAAAATAATTATTTACAATATTAAGAATCCTAACAGGAAAATGAAATCTTGTTCTAATTTTGTCAGCCATTTTGAAAAAAAACACAACTCTTTTATAGGTTGTGAATCTTCGCCTTAATTTTGAATTACAGATTGTCAGGTGTTGTATAAAAAATACAGTTCACTAGCCTCTAGAATGTTTTAAAATAATTATCACTGTATTAAGAGTTCTAACAGGAAAATGAAATTGTAGAGTTATATGTTCAATTTTCTTCTAATATTGCCAGACATTTTGAAAAAAACAACTCTTTTATGGATCCTGAAGCTCTACCAATTGTACAGATTGTTAGGCAGTATATAGAAAATACAGTTCATTAGCCTCTAGAATTTTTAAAAAGAATTATCACTATAATAAGAGTCCTAACAGGAAAATGAAATTGTAGAGTTATGTGTTCAATTATCTTCTAATTTTTCTAGCCATTTTGAAAAAAAAAACAACCCTTTTTGTGAAACTTTGCCTGATACAGTTCACTAGTCTTTAGAATTTTCAAAAATAATTATCACTATATTAATTATCCTAACAGAAAAATGAAATTGTAGAGTAATGTGTTCAATTTTCTTCTAATATTGCCAGCCATTTTGAAAAAAACAACTCGTATAGGTTCTGAAGCTCTGCGGATTTACTTCATATCGCCTATGAAAATTACTTATAATATGTTTTTTACTTTAAACTTAAAACTATTTAAAACATATTGTTTTTGCCCAAAGAAATTAAAAATATCTCCAAATAATTGGCACCCACCTTTGGCGGCGCTCCTGTACAAAATATTAACAATCTTTGTGCACTAATTTTTGTGACTGAATCTAACTAACGTTATTTTTGAAATATTCTGTTCACCACAGACATTAGAAAATTCAATTCGAAAACTATGATTTTTGTTAGTTTAATTAATTTTATTTTTAGATTTATTAAAGCAAGTAATAATCGTTTTTCTAAAGTTGGCTATTCCGTGGGCAAAGGTAAACTGGCTAGTTTTGTTGGTCTGTAGCTTGTTTTTTTTTATTGGCTTTGATTTTTTTTAAATTCAATCCTTTTGACATTAAAATATTAAAAAAAAAAATCTCCACTACCATTTTAATTTTTAGGTGATAGAAATCCCCTGCACATTGATCCCGGCATGGCCGCAGTTAGTGGATTCGACAGACCCATTTTACATGGTCTGTGCAGTCTGGGATTTTCTGTAAGGGCCGTTCTTGAGACTTTTGCTGATTATGATGCGTCATTGTTTAAAGCCTGCAAAGTTAGTAGACCGTCATAACTATCTGCATTAATAAATTATATCTTGATTTTTTTTTTAATGGTCTTTTAGGTTCGATTCACTAAGCCTGTTATCCCGGGCCAGTCGCTGAGGGTTGATATGTGGAAAGTAAATAACAGAATCCATTTTGAAACGATTGTGGTGGAGACAAATACAGCTGTTATCACAGGTAGGAAATAATAATTTTGTGTTTCCGCTCAAAAATTAAGTTTTTGAATTTTATATTACACATATTTAGCAATTTCTGCATAGATATTAAATTGGCTACAAAATAAAGAAAGTTAACTTGCCTGATGACGTCACGTTCTCATAAATAAGTTACATTGGTATGAGGTGTTCTCTGAAAGTTTGCCCCCTTAAATTTGTCGTTATTCCGTGATAAAATAGCGACTATTTAAAAAAACACCTTAATAAGTAGCACCATTAAATTCTAACCCCAAAGAAGAATAAAAAATGTCAAATAACATATTCCTCCTTTTTAACATTTCATCTTTTTATTCCCAAGTTAATTACTTAAAATTTCTTTATTAATACTTTTTTTCTTCGGCCACATAATGTGTATTTGTTTTTATCGATGTAATAATTACCGTCTCGGGAAAAAAAACTTTTCCCTTGACCCTCGTATCTGTAGGCCGCCTCGCCTAATGCTTTTACCCTGTTGTCAAGTCACGTCGACACACCGAATTCAAATATTGGTTTAATAATCTGTGGAATTGTCTTTTATTGTTACGCCGCGAAAGCGCTAGTGGAGGCAAAATTACATTAATTTTTTCGCATTTTCGTACATAATTTATTATTCGGGGTTTTAGGAATCAATTCCAGATTCGATCGTGTGACAACGCTGTAGCAGTTTCGTCGACAGTTTGACGTTTCATTAATTAATTTTCGTTTGAAATTTCTAACCTTTGGAGCTACTTACTGTTTAGAAATCGATCGTTTTCGCGATACGTATTACGAATTTAACGACACAATACATTTTGAAGTATTTTACTGTACTGATAAGCACATTTGTTGAAATCAAATACTCGTAATATCTTAGGAACGTTCCACTCACCAACCTAAGGTATTTGCCAATGTTTTCACCATTTTTTATAGTTTTTAGTCAGAGTATGTCGAATTAAGCTAATATTTTTCAGGTGCTTACGTTGATTTGAAGTCGGTGAAACTGTCGCAAGTACCCCCAAACATGTCCGATTCAAATTTAAAAAGTGACGCCATATTTGAATTTATAATTGAACAAGTTAATGCGGATCCAAGCAAAGCAAAATCTATCGGTGGAGTGTTCCTGTACAATATCACGAAAGATGGGAAACAAGTTAAACAATGGAGTAAGTTTAAAGTTCCTTTTTGACTGATAATGGTTAAGCATACTTCTCCGTATAGCTTATTTATGTTTAACTTTTGGCGAGGACTTTGTATTATACCTTAAAAAATTTCAGCCATGGATTTGAAAAATGCCAAAGTGTTTCAAGGAACGCCCGAAGGAAAACCGAGCACTACTCTGACAATTTCCGATGAAGACTTCCTTCTTTTAGCAGAAGGCAAACTTCAACCACAACAGGCATTCATGAAGGGAAAACTGAAGATTACGGGAAATTTAATGCTAGCCCAGAAATTAGCACCCTTATTGAAAACCAATGCTAAATTGTAATTTCATATTTTCTGTAATAGTATATTTCAGTGGTTGTTTCATATTTAGACTATATTTTTTTATGGTGTTAAGTATGCATTTGTTATTTTTATTTAGATTAAAATGTTGAGTCTGATTTCGTTTTCCATTTGCAGTTGAGTCCAGCAAAGTTAAGCAAATAAGTTATTTATTAATGGATCCTTCATAAAATGGATGAAGTTGTCCACAATAACGTTGGCAGTCTTAAAATCTCAAGAATTTTTAAGTATTAAAAGAATAAAATTAACATGTCTCCAGTATTAGGCAAAACCGTGGATGTTGGCATAGATACTAAAATTGTTAGTTGGCGGTCCAATTTTCATCGTGTCCTAGATATTCTGTTATACTTTTACTCTTTATACTATCGTCAAAAGTAATCTGTTCTCATGGTAGTTTTGAGGCGCCAACTATTGATGTAACTAAAAGAAACTTTTTTTTATCCTTTAAATTTGCTAGGGCAAAAGTCTCTCACTAACAATTTCTGAAAATTTGATTTGATTTTGCACCCATTACGTACGTTTCATGCGTTAAGTTAAAAAGTCAAATCGAAAAAAAAAAACAGTCACTTTTCAGCCACATGACATTTAGCGATCACAGTCAAAATTTCCCTATCCATATGTCAGCTGCAGAATCATTAAAATAATTCTTAAACTTCTAGAAAAAAATGGCCGCTCTCAATTAACGATGTCGTCTAATGAAATCACGTAATTTGTTCTGGCGTAATATTTTAATTCAACGTATACTCCATTTTGTTTACCTTCACTTTCGGTTGAAACTCACCAATTTTAAATTGTGTATAACCATGGTGTTGTTTATCGTATTGGATTGAGTCTATGGTTTCCCCGCCAAAAGTGTTCACGAAATAATAGAATCGGCAAAACAGTATCAAGGGAATCATGAACACTTGGAATCCAGGTAGGGTGTTCTTGCTTTTAAAACTTTTTTAGTATTGAATGATTAATACGCAATTTAAGGTTTTAATGACACCGGTGCGGGAGGATTTTTGAACAATACCACAAATTTTGATTCGCCGGCGACAAAGAAAAAAGTGGGAGTTTTAACATTTGTTCTCCAGTAAAATTAACGTTTTCAATGATTACAGAATGTGAAAAGGCTTCAAAGCGTTGTGCCTGTTGTGATTCGACAGATCCGGGACCAAAAGGAAGATGAATTTAAATTGTTTAAGCTGCCTGCGCAGATGGTAAGTTCGCTTCTTTAATAGTCGATCGCAATTAAATTATGTTCTTGGTTTCTACAGATAAAGCTTGTGGGTATTTTGAAAGAGTGTGACATGCAATCAACAAAAGCTACATATCGCATAGAAGATCATACGGGTTATATTAAAGCAGTCTGGTGGCTGGACAGCGATGGTGGAGATGGTGAGGTCATGTTGCCACCAGTTAAAGAGGGTGCATATGTCCAAGTGTTCGGTACAGTGAGATCAGGGGAATCCAGATCAGATCAGTCAGGTGAAAAAATGATTATTGTGTTGAAAATGTTTGTGGTAGAAGATGCAAATGTGATAACAAATCACTTGTTGGAAGTGATTCACATTCGTCTGCAAGCAGAAGCAATGGACAGTGAAACAGTAAGTGGAGAGAAATATTATTTTTAACAGTATCTTAATTCCGTAATTTTTTATTTAGGTTATTCCCAAAAATAATCCGGGGTCGGCATTGGCAAATTCTATGACATTTTTCGATGAGGGTAACGGTAATGCTGATAGTGGCAATCCCAGTTTTACGGCGGTGCAACAGAAAGTCTTCAAGATACTTCAAGCAGATAACACCACAGCAGGTCCCAGCAAGACTGCAATTTTGAGTAATTTCGGTCATAATCAACAACGTGAAGCTAGGTAAGTACCTTTGCTTTGATAGTTCATTTTGAGTTAATATTTGGAATTGATGAGTACCAAATTACTTGAATTGCTGTACTCTATACGCCTTTTTCTTTTTAGGGATGCTTTGGAGTTTCTCGTTAACGAGGGTCATGCTTATTCCACAATCGATAATGATCATTTCAAAGCCACCGATGCGTAGTAATTGAGCTAGTTTTTGTTTCGTTATTCCATAAGATTTCGATGTTACTTTTTTATTTAATAAACTTTTTGATTTACTTACTTATTCATGGAATGTTTCTTTAATTGTGGCTCATGTCGAGCTTTTCTCAATATGTGCCATCAACAACGTTTAGTTAAAAATTGCCAGCCATGTTGTAGTCTGTGGCGAGGATAATTACAAATGTGTAATTGGATAGAGATTTAAAATCTCATTTCGAAACGCATTAACGAATATAAAAGAGCGTTTAACAACAATACTCTACATTCTAATTATGCTACACACTTAAACACGGAAAAACAAATTTTTGACGACAATTTTGATATTTTACGTACTGGCACAAAAAGTAGAAAATTAAATTTATTGGAAGCCATGGAGTTTAATAAAATGAGACATTCAAATGCCTCTCCTTTATTGAACTTAAATTCTCACAACATTAAATAATGTTTTGTTGTCATTTTCAGTATATATAGTAGCAGTTAGTTTGTAAATATTACATTTGATAAAGACACGGTGTTGTCGAAACAATTGTCATGTGAAAATATATAATTTCGTGAAAATCTGAACTTTTAGTTCTTATTTATTTTCAAATGTAGAATCATTTTTTTCACCCACCAATCTGCGATTTGTATTATTTTCTTTCTAAACATCGCACTTAACTGAAAATGATACATGCAAATTGATTGATCATCTGTCAGTGGCCATGTTGACTGTTGAATGGCGTTTTGGTTAACCAAAAAATTTTAAATCTCGCACGTGCGCATGTTTTTTGCGGTTTTAAAACGAAGTTTATTATCTGTTCGAGATGCCAGTTTGTTTAGGATAGATTTGACGTCTGAGACGATTTCCTCTTATGGGATAGCAAATACGATCAATCCGTCAAAAACTCAGCTCATAGGAAGAAAAATACCAGATAAGTAAATACATTTTTATATAAACAAAATATTGCTTAGCTGGCTTTGCCTCTATTCATCATCAAGTCTACATGATTGAAAATTCTGACAGTTTGTACATTTTTATCTGATTATCGATTTTGTCGTGTTATCGATTTGGATTTTCATGGAAAATAATAATCAGTTTACAAATGTAGGAAAAGTTGATATGTTTCTGATATACGGGGAATGCACGAAAAACTCCCGACAGGCCCGTGCATTGTATGCAGCCCGCTATCCGGGACGTCGCCTTCCTGCACATTCTTTCTTTACAAAGCTCGAATTGAAAATGAGAAATACACCAAATAATCGACATGATAATTTGATTGTAAGTGGAGAAATGGAAATAAATGTTGTGGAATACGTCAACGTAAATCCAGCTACGTCGCTAAGAGAAGTGGCATGAGAATTAGACATCTCAAGAGAATCTGTGAGAATAATTTGAAAAAAAAAACAGCTAACATTCTTTTAAGTATTACCTTCATCAATATCTTTATGAAGCTGACTTTGTAAGAATTGGATATAGTAATCGGCTGTGTGTTGCTATGTTTAACCGACAGAACAACGGATCTTTAAATAATCAACTCTTGCCGTATATGTATAACTTTAGAGATGTCGATGTATCAAGAACCAAAATACCAAAAGGACAAAGGTCTTAAGGAATACCTATGACTAAGTATCTGTTTTTTACTTATTCCGAAAGTAGCTGGTGTATTTTATTCACTTTTTTTTGCTCCATGTTCACGGCAACCAGAGTAAAATTCAATATTGCAGAATGGCCGACATCAAACTGACAGTTGACAGATGAGATAAGTCGTTTTGGTTTCTCATTCTACGCAGCTTAGTTTTTGTTGTGCATAACTTGATTCTAATTTTTAAACCAAACCTATGGTGGTGGGAAAATAATACCAACGAGTTGTTTAAAAAAATTTATATTTTATAATGTTATATAATATGAAAAAGTACAAGCTAATTATCAACGTAAGAAATAAATATTCACTAATTGCATTATAAAAATTCCAAAAACCCATAAATCTCAACAAGTGTATACAACAAAAAGGGACGAAATATAATAAGAGACAGAAAAAAACCAGCAGCAGTTACATCATATAACGACACTGGGAATGTAAACAACTTTTATTTGGTTATGTTTGGTAATAAATACAAGGTAGCATTTAATCTTCAGTCTTGCTTCCTTCCGGCTAAACCCTAAAATCGCAAGTATATATCTATCTCTTTCAATCTAATATTAAAATTCGTCATTTATTGCGCGGTTTTGCGCCCGTTATTAGGAAAGCACAAAACATTTTTACCAGACTCGAATGTGCTAAAAATTGCTTTACAGTTCGTTAGACGTTGTTTTTTAAAAAGCCCGAGCGGGTGAATACTCGAACCGAAAATTAAAACAATGCGTTAGAAAATGAAATGCAGTTTCGATTATATTAATACTCTGTAAAAAAATCTTTCTGACCGGGACCACATAACATATCCAATTAGAACAAAAAATATATGTAAAGTGAGTGAGTAGAGCCGAATGTAAATGACATATAATTTTTTCTATAAACAAAAAAGGTATTTCTACTAATCTCAGCTTGATTCCTGTACGAAAATTTCAATATTAGACCTATTGGTTCTTTGAGCTTTCATCGCTTTCCTTCTCTCTTCGATCAATCGTTTTCTTTGTTCTTCTCGTTGCTTTCTGGCTTCGTCCGTTACGGTGGACGTCGCTTTCGGCTTGGAAACCCCCTTCCGGGACGCCTTGCTCGCTCCGTTTACTTTGGTCGGGCCCTTTTTGCTAGGTACCTGGACGAATGAAATGTTAGTTCGAAACGACCCCCTAGTCCAGTGCAATTAAAAAAACCTCTTTCCAATTGTTCGCTTTCAAAGCTTCTATCTCGTCGAATAATTTATCCACCTGGTCCACCTGCAACATCACCATGTCCCAGAAACCTTGCAGATCTTCGTTGGTGGTCGGGAATGCATCCCCTGGACTCTAAAAGATGCAAAATGATATGGAAATAAAAAAAAACTACCTTTGTTTGACAGTTTCACTACCTGATTGATGTTATTCGTGCACAATCCCCTAAACTGCTGCATCTTCTGCGAAACGAGCAATCTCGCCTTGCCGGAAGCGGATCTCAACTTTCCGACCACCTCTTCCGATAGTTCCGCGTTTGTCAGTTCGCTTTCTACCTTGTCGGCCAACTCGCTCAGTCTCGACGTCTGTTCGTCCAGTATTCTCAAGAAATAGTATCCGTTCTTGTTTTCCCCCACTGCTGGAAAAATATCGTTCGGCACATTGAATACGAGTTTCGCCATGTCGCTATTAATTTTGAGCAGCAACCACCGTAAATTTGCCGTTATCTGATAAGCGACGTAAAGAAAGTTCCGAAATAAATCCATTTCGCGGAGTTTTTCGTCAGTTTCCAAACCATTTTTAAGTCAAAATAAAAATAATTTGACAATGCCGACACGATTTAACATTTTGACATTTGACAGTTTCGTCTTTACGACAACGATAATTTTCAAAGTACATTTTCATTATAATCTCCACTTGTCAGTGTCCAACAATACAATACAATTTCTTAATTTGACAGTTTTCAATGTTAATAAATCATTTTCATGCAGACATAGTGCGCCCTCTAAGAATAAGAGATTAAATTAAAATTAAAAAAAAAAAGAAAATCTTTATTAATTATATTCTGTTTTGCTGACTACGTTGCGCCAGGTTTCTCATGACTAAGTTGTTAATATTAATTGTTGTACTGTACTAATGTTGTTGTAACAAGTTGTCCACGTAGAATGTTTTCGAAAAATCGTCGGTGAGCGGGACAAGTTCGTAGCAAATAGCGCGAATCACCTTTTTATTTTAAAAAGAAGGCCCTTCGCGGATTCTTGTCCTAGAGGAAAGCATTGTTTTTCTATCGTCCTCCTGCGGGCCACTTTCACAGAATCGATGTAATTTGATTGTGAATACACCCTGTATAAGGTGTCCTTCACATTTCGTCGAACTTCAAAGTTACGACACACTTCGGTAAATATTAAAATTTGTACTGGTAATTGCAATTTAAAATTATATTTTTTCAAATATCTTACGACCCCTGTATTATAGACGAAACCTTACACTCTCTCTCGACACAGTTTACGATACTGTTCATATAAAATTATCACATCTTTAAAAGTAGCAGAAATTTCTAAGATCTATTAGAATTTTTTGCCCACAAACGATGTATATATAATTCCAACAATGTTCGAAATAGAGGATATAACCCTGGATTTCCTTAGTTTCCTGGTATCCTAATTTTTCCAATGGAGTAAATGGTTTTTAAAAAAAACTACTTGTATTCTGAAACCATGCAATACATGGTAATATTAAATGACGCCATCTCGTCTAGATTGAAGGCGAGAAATAGTGATTTTCATTTGGACCCAAAACAATATTCACAAGTTGTTCAACAGGTGTTTCGGAAAAATAACGTACGAGTTTTGCAGTGGTCAGCACAACTCCCAGACCTTTACCCCAGTGAAAATCTGTGGGAAGAAGTAGAACGTCGTAATAAACATTCTTGGAGAAGTAAAATTCGTGAAGTTTGAATGCTTTCCCGAAAATATCATTTGTCAATGTCAATTGGCCCTGTTATGCACAAAGCTGCTAACATTATATGAAAAAATTAGATAAACGGGTAATCTGGTCAATAATTAATATCTATTTATTCTGCAAAATCTTTTCAGCCTAATGTCGACTCTAGATCTTGAAAATGTCTATTCGTAAAAAAAAGCGGAATCCAGAAGTGTTGAGCGAAGGAGATTTTGAAAAAGCTAAAGGCAACTATCAATATGAGTGTTTGACTTTTAATCTTCGAGAAAAAATTACGTTTACGAAGAATTCCCACAAATATTGTGTTCTATAAAGGGCAGCGCTGGGTATGTAATGCTGGAATTCACAGCGGTAAAGATGACCGCGGATATTGTTACGTTTGGGTCGAAGGAAAAGCTACCCGGTCTCAAAAAGTGGGATCATGTATATTAAAGCCCAAATCAAACATACATTTCCTCAGAAGTGAAACATCTTATTATGTGGAGTGACTTGTGTAAACCAATCTCTGAAGAGAAACTTAAAAACTTAAACAAAATGATGCACCTCATACTGGGAGCCTTTTATAGCAGCTTAAAATCAGATAAAAATATAGTTGAAGATAGATTCGACGTGGAGGAGCTACATTTCAATGCTGAAGCAGAGTAGATACTTCAGTTATCCAATTTTATATTTTTCCTTCATTACTCTTAAACTTGTTAATAGTTCTTAAAGGTCTTTTTCATTTTGAAAAATCCTACCAACCACAAAATTTTTGGTATTGGAAAAAAAACAAATAAAAAGCGAGATGATACTTGTAATATTGCTGTTTTTTGTATTCAGTTTTGACTTATTTAGAAAAAAGTTCATTTACAAATATCTCAAATATTATTGATTTGAGGGATGGAAGTTTTTTTTTTATATATTTTATCAATTACTAATGTGTTACTTTCAATTGTTAATGCTCTGAAATGTGCAAAATATTTTTTTTATGAAATCAAATGCAACTGAATATAATTTGTTGCTCTACTTTTATCGCCCCCATTTTTATCAGTTTTTAAAACTACCATTATTTACCAGCCCAAAAACCGATTAAAAGTACATCAAAATGTAGTGAAATATTATTTTCAGTGTAAGGATAGTATTTTGAATTAGCCAAAAATCGCAACCCGATAATTTTATAAAATAGTGTAACTAGATAACAACGTTGAAACAAAATATAAGAGTATACGTTTCCTTTTAAATTGCAAAAAATAACAAGCTGTATCCGAAATTAACAAAAAAAAAACGCCAAATGCAAATAACATTTACCTTCATTCAATGATTGCTTCGAACATCCATTTTCCTTGACAGCGGTGGTGACGTCAGACACGTGACGCTGTTCCTCGTTAATATTCGAATGGCCGTTGACGTTCGCCCCTTCACTATGTAACTTAGGAACTGTTAGGCTTTTCTGCATCGACGTCTGGGTACTCTTCCGACCACTTATTATCGGTAACTGCGCCCTAAATTCGGGCCTCAGGTGCCGCAACACTGGCAACGATGGACTGCTCGAGCTTTGTTTCATTGACGTTTCGCGACCTATGTCATCCAACAGCTTATCGGTTAAAGATTTCGAATGTCTATCTTCGGCCTCTCGATCTTCCGATTCGTGACTATGATGTTTTTTCGGTCTAGGTGATACGAAACACTGGGCCAGAGCTCCCGGGCCGTACAGCCTCTCGACACGCTTCTGGATGGACGTTTGCTCGTCCATAATTTTCAGGAAATAGCATCCGTTCTTGGCATCTCCTACTGCAGAGAAAATATCGTTACTACATTCAATACGAATTTTGGGCGACAACCACTTTAAGTTACTGAAGGGCCACCTGAACATTTTGATTTTTAATCTGTGCTTGAGCAATCCTTCAGTGAGGAAGTATTAAGTTTGGCAACATCGCCAATATTAGTTTATGCTTGGGTCGCCATTGGGAATTAAAATTAGGACTGCAGCGCCCGCGCGGAGCATCGCTGAACTACTTTCCAGTCCATCAAATCTTAACCTTACTTCCATTTCGAGCATCGTTTTGTTGTTTTAAGTTTAAGTTTTCGGCGTCCTTTTTGGTTAGTCAAAGGGCCATAAAGGTTTTTCTAGGTATAGCAAAAGTAGTATTAACCCTAATAGCATATACATCGGTGGAAATGTTAATTCGATACGTGTTGTGGAAGGGGAAGAAGTATTAAATGCAGGACATAATTGTTACGTTTGCCGTGTCTTCAAAAAAGTGCTTTATATGGAAGCATGGAGAGTTACGAACTACAAACAACTCAGTTGTGTTTGCACACGCAAAGCTGGAGCCGGAGGACATTGTAAAGATATTTCAGTAGTATTAATTCTCCTAAGGAGGTATGTAATGTTGAATTCATGACAAGTGGTCGGTATAAATATTATGCAATAATTTACTGATTCGGTTTTCCAGCATTTTGCGTGAAATATGCCTGAGTCAGCAATAGCGAAACACAGATAAGTCATTTCTTTTTTCTATTTGATTTTTACTGATGTGTAAACAAACAAAAACAATCCATGACATTTCAGCTCTTTACAATCAATGTACTAGAAACTAGTTCGTAGTTTTGACGTCAGGTAGCGTAACGCTTAGCTGGAATTCCCAATTGATAGAAGACTGACGCATATTATTTTCCAACCAATAGGAATGTTTCATTTAAACACAGACGTTTGACCTGGTATATTAGTATATTATTTAGTTTTATATTGTTTTTATTACTCACACAAAGAACTCAATTACATGTTTTTAATTTGTAGAAAAGAAAATAAAAACTGAATAGTATCAGTGTTTGTAAATATTAGGGAGGTATTTGAATGTGATCCTTTCAGTAAGTATGACCCTGCGAGACTGTTTTCACTGTTTCAAAGGGTAAGGGTAAGCACCTATACTCTATTAAACTTACAGGTAAGTTGAAAAATAATCATTTTTGTTTTGTGTGACTGTCGATTAACAACATCCTTCTTGTATTTTTGTGTCTTCCACATAATTCTTCAGTGTTTTATAAGACTATAGATTATATTCGCGGTAGATCAAGGCACGTCACAATTAAACATTTTTTGAAGGTTCCTGTTTTTTAACAATTTAAAATGTGGAGACCGTGTTCCCCTGTTAACAAAAGACACGGGAAACAATGCAGAATTTGAAGACAAAGTGGAGACAGTAGTCGAACTTCATGACAATTTAGAAGAGGAACTAGCTCAGCAAATTAAAAAACGGTTCCATTTGTCTTCAGATGATAAACAAATTGTTTTGAATGTTTTGAAATAGGCCAATGGTGTGTTTAGACTAAACGTGTTTCGACACTCATGATACAGTAAAAAAAGGATGATGTGAGGACAGTAACAAGTGTGTACTAGACGTGCGGCCTTCACATGGAAAACGCTGGGTCCAAAAATTAGTGGGTGGAAGACGCCTGGTCTGTCAGAAAGATTCAAGTGTGGATTTCCATGAAAACATGACTGCGGAAATGTTTGAGTGCCAAATACTTCTTCAAATCAAGTAGAAATTAAAGAATTTCTGTACGAAAATGATTTACATTTCGAAAAAACAACTTCTGGAATTATCGAAAATAAAATATTTTAGTAAAGACTACAAAATCGCACAACAAAACGGACACGAAATCTTGAGATTACCTGTGTGTCATTGTATATTTAACTGATTGAGATGATTTGGTCTGAGTTGAAAGCCCATATAAAAAGAAATAACACTGCACCAAAAATTTATTGATAGGGCCATAAACGTAATTCGGCAATAGACAGCTAAAATATTAGTACAATGCTGGTCTAACTGTTAAAAACGAGTAATAAAAGAGGAAAATATTTATCGAGAACGATTAGTGGCGGAGTTGATCATTGAACTAGGTGACGACAGTAGCGATAATGGCGATTTTGTATTTTAATATTGAACATTAATAATGACAGTATGTAGAAATCGAACGTAATAAATTATTACTTTGTACTATTTTGTGTACGTAAGTTAATCACGGGGTCGGTTTTAAAGGCACTATATTTCTGGTCGAAGTATAATAACATCGTTAAAGCGCGATGAGACAGACTATAATACGAAGAAAACCGATCAGGGTTTCATGTATAGGTTTACGTTTACCTTCGTCCAAAGATTTCGAGTGTCTATCTTCGGTCTCTCGGTATTCCGATTCGTGATTATGATGTTTTTTCGGTCTCGGTGACACGAAGCACTGGGCGAGGGCTCCCGGACCGTACAGCCTCTCGACACGCTGCTGGATTGACGATTTGGTCTCGGTACCGTTGCTAAATTCTTTTCTTACGGTCGATTCCAACGCGGTAACCGCGTTGCTTTCGAAAGTCACACATTTGCTTTGAATCGATTGGGATTTTAATTCCGCGCACGAGTCGACACTGTCCTTGGCGAATATATCCGGCGTGAAACTAGATTCTTGAGCTAGAAACGTCGTCTTGGTGGTGCTACGATAAAACTCCTCGTGACGGTGTCGATCGAGTAGGTTGTCCGTCATCGCAGTACCGTTCTGATCCGGTAGGGGAACCACGTTCGGAGGCGACAGCAAGTTTTGTTTCGCGGAATAGGGGTGCTGGTTCACCAACGATTGGTGATCCGTTTCGGGCCTGTGAGGCGATGCGTCTCGCGACCTCGCGAGTCTGATCGGATCGTAATTGGTGGTAGTGGAATAACCATTAACCGTGCAGGCCAAACTCAGATAAGACGGTAGATGGTGGTGGTGATGCCGATCGATAGGGGTGACGATACTCGCGCTACGCAGCGTTCCGTCGGAGGACACTTCGGACCAATCTGCAAACACGATGCGCCGATTAAGATCGCGGCAGAAATGGTCGACAGAAAATTTTTCAAAAAAAAAAAAAAATCCGTATGGCTCATACATCGGTTGTTTATTAACCCATATTATCCAAAGCATAAAAAAAAATAAAAAAATAGTTTTTTGCTCTGAAATTATTTATTTTGTTGCACTTAAGAATACATTACATGTGTCAAAAAAAAAACCTCGAAACATACAAAAAAATACTGGCGCGTAAACGAACCACTGGGAAAATAATGTTTTTGGGCACATAAGATGTAACACATAATTTATACAAAAATATACAAAAGAAAGTTCAAATTCGACAGAAAACAACTAAAAGTTTTCCAAATAGAACCTGATTTGATACAAAAAAGCGTATAATATTTTATGGTAACTCCCGGTTTCATTTTTGGTGATATTTTACAATTGTATGGGTGTGGCAGATTCTACATTTCCTTCGGGTTTTATTAGCATGAACAATCACGAGGTGACCTTGATTATCATAACGCACTTGATCTATGGCAGGTGTAAGATTTCTTTGAGTAATTGTTTTATCAGTTTTTAAAAGCTCGCAAAGCAATGTAAGATTTAAAATCAAATCATACACTTCGTCATCAAAAAATATAACAAATATTTAAAGCGGAGTTTTTCCAGAAAGCCTATTTTTTAGTTCCTCATATGATCTAAATTCACCGGTGTATGAGTGTACTCAATCTGACCTTTCTTCCATTTGACAGTAGAAGCAAGCCTGTCGTTTGCAGAAAGCATACGTCTTCTTTTGAATTCCAGGGTTTCATCATCTGATGAGTCCCATTCAGGTTCAGTAGTTGATGAATTACAGGACAGCTGTATTATTCGGTTTATGTAACTCGGAAGTTCCAACTATATTAGTTGGTTCCCCAAGCCCTTGTAGACTTATGTTATCGTTCATATCTTCTTCGTCAGTCAAGGTATCCACGTCGGGTGGAATATAGACCGCGTCAATATGTTCTGTAAATATTTTTCACGTTATTTTTAGCATAAATTTCACGATATCTTCATAGCCGCCTTTTGAGTCAAATACCTCGGCAATGCCATATTTTACGAACTGTAACACGTTCCCTGCACACGGCACTAACCAATACTAAAGAACACTCTAATTGTTAGATGTTTATTCTACAAGCGCTGACTTGTCTAGACTTGCAATAACAAAGTTTTGTTTCACAGATAAAACCAGTTGGCGCATTCACGCATCAGTAAATATTTTCAAAAAATAAGGCATAATCAATATAGTATTTCCAACGTATGTTTGTTTTCTGCGATAATAAAAATATATTTTTTTACTATTTTGGATTTACTTGAAAATGTGATACAAATTAATGTACCTCTTTTGAAGTCAAATATAAGATATTTGCTTTACACATAAATTAGCGATTTCTACGGTTTTATGTCCTTTAGTAGTGATAATAATAAAATTTCTAAACGGATGTGCAAAAATATGTCCTGAATGTGTGATGACAGGTGGGACACTGGGACAAAATGGGTTAAACTTGCTGACGTGTAATAATAACAACAAATCCCTTTTATTTTGTAATGTATCATCAACAAGATTATATTACGATAAATTCTTTAAATTAAATTCATTAAACTCAAGTCTTATATGTATATATTTATTTTGCAAATATCACTAAATTTTGCGAGCATTTCTTAGTACCCAGACTTTTCAATAATAAGTCACGTAACCTTAAAATATGGGGTTATTCCCTTGGAACTCCCTGTATAACACAAAAACGAATAATCTAACGGTTTCCATAGATGCAAATAACTGTTGTTTTCAAAATTTCTCGATATCTATATAACTTTTATTAGACGCTCGGTACTTAAATTTATAAAAACATTAATAAAAGTTGACACTAACACGACGCGGCGATTAACATCGTAGCTGAAATGGTCGCCGGAAAATTTTTGAAAGAAACTTTCGATTTACCAATATTCCGTATTGCTCATACATCGGCTGTTTATTAATTAAACTTTCTGACGTTTAATAATAGTAATAATAATAATAAAAACAATATTAATAATAATAAATGTGTTTTATTTTGTAATGTTCTTCTCCGTCAACAATCGCCGCGTCACTGAAAGTTCTACCCAAATTAAATATTGTTGTGTCCATCTGCATATAATATTTGATCTTATATTCGCGAGTAAGTCGTTAATAAATATAAGGAAAAGAATCGGGCACCCAGTATTGAGCCTTGCGGCACCCCAAGCGAAACAAATTGTGGTCCAGAAACCTCACCGTTAGGTAACGTAACGATTTGTGTGTTAAGGTAAGATTTAAAAAAGTTCGAACTTTAGGCCCTTATGCCGTGACATTCAAATTTGTTTACAAAAAACTCATGGCTAACGCAATCAAAGGGCTTCGAAAGATCCAACAAGATTGCTTTCGAAAAATCGTCGCTGAGCAAGTTCGTAGCGCGAAGCAGCATTGTATTTAAAAAAAAAAAACTCGGTTCACGTTTCCTTGTCCTATAGAAGAACAAATTGTTTTTCTATCATGCTCCTGCGGACACAAAATCGATGTAATTTTGTTGTGTACACACCGTGTATGTAGTATCTTTCAAGTCTGGTCGAACCTCAAAGTTAAGACAAACTTTGATAAATGTAAAAAATTGTACAAGCTATAACGATTTACAATGATATTTTTCCAACGCACCCTGTATGATAGACGAAACCTGAAACTCTCTCTCGACACAATTTACGATACTGTTTAAACCAAACGAAAGGTTTTCAATAACGACTAACAATTTACCCACAAAAACGGCAATTTCCGGGGTCTTGTTTATTTTTTGCCCACAATCGACACACCCTGTACATAATTGAAAAAATGTCGAAAATAGGGGATCTTCCACATTTCCTTGTCCAAGAATTTTTTCTAATAGAGTAAAATTGTTATTGAAAAAATATTTTTTTTCTGAAACCATGCAGTGCGCCGTAATAATCAATGACGTCATCGCGTCTTGACTGAGCCCCCGAAATAGCGATTTTAATATGGATTTTCTCAAGTACACCGCAAACAAAAAAATTAGCCACATTTTTTACGATTTTTGATTTGCGGTTAATAATTTACTCCGTAAAATAACAATTTCCTAGGTCTTTTAGTCTTTTGATAACCCTGTATATTATCGGAAAAATGCCTCAAATAAATGTTTACTCAAATAAACCTTCACTTCTCTGCTAAATTTGAAGTTGATATCGGAAATTAACACATTTCTTACTTAGCACGGAATATCGGGAACACCCTGTACAATAGGTGAAAACCTTAAATACAAAAGTATCAGCTGTCTATGCGGCTACCATCTGAGTCATAGTCTTTCAGTTATAACCAATTTTCAATTGTAGGGGGATCCGTTTTTCAGTTTTTTTGAATTTGCGGCGCACCCTGTATATTTTTGAAAAATTGTCAGGCAGAAAAGTTTATGGAGCCGTTTCTTCTGCGTCTTCTGGTTGAAGAATTTTTGTGGTCTTGTGAACGGTTTTTGAAAAATGACGTTCTTTGTAGACCCTTGCGTACCGACCCCCCCGCCCTCCACCATTTTCAATAGGTTCCGTCACGGGGCAAAGCTGCACATATGTGCGAAGATTGCTTCAAATTTGGGACATTTATCGTGTTTCATAGCAATGTTCAAAAAACAGTCGAAAATCGCAAGACGGTTAAAATGGAGGCAAATTTAAACGGTTCGAAAGTTATTCAGGGTAAACCGAAAGACGAGAACGGGGAACGGACAGACAAAAAAATTTTTATTCGATGCTGATCATTTCTGTACCAATGGTCATACCATTACCGAGACATAAAATTTTTATACGAGCGTAGATACTTTTGAAAAATTCGAAAGTAACGAGGTCATACAGGAAAAAAGCTTACCATCAATAACTTCCAAAACCTTTTCCAGAACCGCTATAATTGCTTTCACTGTTGAGTTACTCAAATATACTTATGTTTAATAATATTATTAATCATCTAATCGGCGAATGACTGGTTAATCTCCGCATGGCGCGTCCCGAACGAGCAACAATGACCGACAAACTGGGCGTAATCTCACATTACGCGATACTCAAATGCGCGTAGGAACGCAAATTAAATAAACATTGGGCATAATTTCAGCATAACTGGTTCCCAGTGACATTTGCCGTTCGTTTGATTGCCACGGATTTTGTTTCGTTACTTGTGCGATTCCCAATTCGGAATAAATCTTTTTTTCGTCAGCTGATCTGAGGTTCTGACCCCCCTATCCTAACTCAGAACAGTGTCCACCATTTTTTTTTAGTTTAGGTTGATATCCACAACGATATAATGTTTTCAGGTTATATTTAAAGTGAGGTAAAGTAGAAACAAACAAACGAGTATAATAAAAAAATTACGAGATATTTTACTTAAAAAAATAAAATTTAAACCTAATTTAATAAATTGAAGTGAAAAGATGATGGTGAATGTTACATTCAATATCAAAATATATAGGACCTTCGGAAATGAAATCATAACGGATATACAGCCCCGATTTAGAAAAAAATCATCGTTACAAAGTAAGTGTTTCAGAAATCTGTCACTAGAGGGCACTCTATTTTGCAATATCAGTTTAAATAAGTAAAATACAGGGAAAATACAAAAAAAATGTTCTAGGCAAAGTGCCCTCTAGTGACAGATTGCTGAAACACTTTTATTTTGTAACGATGACTATTACTAAATGTGTGTAAACTAACAGCTTATTGCGTTAAAAATTAAGCCCAGTGTGTTAAAAATAAAATTAAAAAAAAATTGACTACCATTATTTTACCACGTTGAATCTTTCCTCCAAATTTCCGAACACCCTGTATAAGTCTATCAACAATAATAGTAGTCGATAGTACAAGTTGCATTATTTTTTTTTAATAAATCTTTTTCATATCGTTTTTCCCTTTAACTGTGTTTAAAAGATGATTGCATTGTATATCGTAGTTTTACTCCTTTGATGGT